CAGTTTATGCCGGCTGAAACGCAATCACACTTATTTCCTGTCTGCGGATCCCATCACTGTATGCCCGTTCACACACAGCGGGCGTTGGTGGTTTGTTTGTTTTTTTAAACTCAGTTTGCACATGCGCATAGGCAGCCATCCACAGAATGGCGATCGTCACGCATGCGCAAAACACCCCGTCCCGAAAAGCATGCCCTGAAGAGAGGACTTACCTTTAAAGTTTAAAGAGCAAACTAGCCTCCCTGAGGTCCGGGACTCCTCTAAAACGTTAAACTAAGGACCTTTTCTTTTCTTTTTAAAACAAATGCCGGGGCGAAGCTTCGCCCAAGCGCATGTCGCCGACCTAAAAAAAAATGGCGGGCAAAAATAGGAAGCCTCGGGCTTCCGAACGGAAGTGGCTCTACAACGGTGGAGAGCGATCAGATGGGGGGGGGTAAAGCGATTACAACCGTTGCACTCAGGATACCACCACTTGGGGACCTAGTGGCAGAATACAACGGTTTAAAGCTCTTTGCAATGGTTAGGGATGGAAGGCAGATGTTCGCCGTGTGAATGCCAGTAAGTACACCGATTCCAACCAGCACCTATACTGTTGTAAATGCCCCATCTGAACACACCCTCTGTGTCACACAATGCCCAAAACCCAGGTTCCATCAGGGCCAGAACTCCAAAAGCCCTCCCACTGTTGCCCTCCAAGCACCAAGAATACAGAGCATGTCTGTGATTACTTCCTTTTCTGGTGCAATAATAGTTCATCAGCAGCCCAGAAGAAAAAGCTGGCCCCATGTGTGTGTGTGTCTGTCCCCACACCATTACTCTTACATAGTCTCTCATCACCCTGGCCACATAACTGGCATAGCAACATGGTTTGCAGGCTACAAGGAAGTAATAAAAAGCATTGACACCACAGTCAGAATGAAGGGACGGACACCAATATGGATTTAACAAGGGCCACTTTATTAATTATTTATAATCAAACAATTGGCGAGGTGCTGCTAAAAATGTACTGAGGAATCATGACCACTTTCATCTCCTTCTGGGCGATGCACCTTCCCCAATCTCGAGCCACCTAATGTAGCTCTCGACCAGCAGCTTGGCATTTAGGAGAACCCCCTGGCCCACCACCCCAGAAGCTACAAGGCCTGCTGAGATAGACTGGGCCAGATTGTTCTAAGGAAGATCACCCCATTCCTGGACTTCCGGTTGATGGTGGCACATTCACGGACTCACCTCCCGGACGTCTCGGGGGTGTCTCCGTGCTCCGGTGGAAGGAGGGGGCGAGCAGGCTCGTAACCCCCCCAGGGGCCCGGTGAAGGAACCCTGGCCAAGGAGCTTTGAGGGGTAGCCTCTTCGATGGCGGAATGCCAGAGAATCGAGGCTCCCCTTTGCTCCAGTGGTTCTTCCAGCCGAGAGACCGAATAGTACAAGTGAAGCTAACTGGGTCAAGCGCAGGAGATCGGGCGTGAAAAATGATGAAAGAAGCGGGGTCGGAAGATCAACTATGAACGTGAGTCAACTGAGAAACGATTTTTAAAAGAAAAGACGTTCCCTACCCTACTCCGTGGAACGGGAAAAGCGAGCGGGGGGGACGCCTCCCATGCGCATAAACTGTTGAGCGAAAGGGGGGGAGCAGAAGAAAAATGTGCGGAATTGCCCAGAAGTACTTACCCAATCGAGCTAAGCAGTTAAGCACATATTCAGAGACTTCAAAAAAAAATCCAAAAGTAAACAAACTGGAAAAAAGATGGCAGGGAAGAGGGACAGAGACAAAGAGAAACTTTTAAAAATGAAACCAGAGTCCCCAAAGCCGGAAACAACCAGTGAGACGGCAAAGGCTATAGCTGAGTTCATGCGCCCTCTACTGGAACAGCTGAATAACTTCAAAGAACAGATGTCCATGGTAACAACAAATATTACAGCCCAACAAACGCAGCTGTCTGTGGTAACAACAAGCATTACTGCTCAACAAATGCAAATAACAGATCTGATTCAAGTAATGAAGCAGGATGCTGAGAAAGTAAAGGAAATGGCTGAATCAACGCAGAAAGTGAAGAAGAAAGTGCAAAAAATGGAAAAGAAAACTTCTTCTTTGGAAGATCAAATGCTTCAAGTGCAAATGGATAAGGCCAATATGGTCCTGTGCTTCCAGGGGGTGCCAGAGAACAGAGGAGAGAATCTTAAAGAACTTATGAGTGAGCTACTTGCCGCAGTAACAGAAATAAAGGCGGAATTGCTACTCAACGACATGGATGTGGCCTATAGGTTATATTCAGGATATATAAAGAAAAACAATCTGCCTGGGGAAATAGTAGTAGGATTCTCGAAGAGGCACATCAGGGATGCTATCCTGAAAGCAGTAGCTGCAACATCCCTGAAGGCGGGGGAGAATGCTGTTAGAACGCTAAAGGATATTCCATTTGAAGTAAGGCAACGAAGAAAGAAATACAAAGAACTTGTGCTCTTTCTTCAAACAAATTCAATTGGATATAAATGGCTATTTCCAGAAGGCGTAACATTTAAGATTAAAGAGAAGAAGGAAAAGATTGACTCTGTTCTTAAAGCTCAAGAATTTCTAAAGGAACAGCTGGGAAGGCCAGAGGAATAGAAAAAAGAAGAGGACAGCAGGTCTAGTGGCGAGCTGGAAACTGGTTCATCTGGTGAGGACTCTTTGTCTGAGCAGGGGGCAGCAGCCCCAAAAAGTCCCTACAAGCTGCAAAAGAGAAGGGAAAAGAAGAAGTAAAGGCTGAAGGACTCTGATTGGTGCCTTTGAGAACTTTGGTTCTTGGGGATGATTGGGGATACTGTTATTGGGCAGTTAAATGTAAACTTTGAGGGTAAAAGGTTTTCTAAGGGTTTGACGCAGTTCATAAAAAGAACGACGACGAGAAGATTTGATGTCTTAAAGCTAGTTGGAGGGTCTCCTCTCTTGGGTTTTTAGATAGTAGTGGGTACTTTACTTTTCTCCCGTATATGTAGTTCCCCTTCCCCTTTTTCTGTTGTAGTGTTAAAAAAAATGAATAAAAAATCCCCTCCGTGGGCTTAAAAAAAGGGGGGGGGAGATCACCCCATTCCCGGCCTTGAGCCGCAAAGGTCTGAAAGCCGTTCTTGGAGGACCCTTTAATTCCTTTATAACAATGCCCAGGTGCTCACAGTTTTCAACTTCCTGATCACGCTACCCCGCCTAACCACAAAGTGACCATCCTATTTAGCAAACGATGGCCCCCCAAAGCCAATTTCCCAACACTACCATCCTCAGTGCAAGGTAGGCAAAAAACACTCCTCCATCTGAAACCAAATCGAAAAAGGGGTGAAAAAATTCCTACCTGGCCCCATTAAAAGGCAACCGGTTGAAACCTGAACTAAAATAGGTCGGGAGGGTGGGCCGAGCACATTGAAGAACTGCTGAGGCAGAGGGTGGGAGCCGAGCCTAAATAGGCTGGCTCTGCCCCCTGCCTGGCACGGTGCTTCTTGCAGCGCCAATGCCCTTTTCTTCATGCTTCACGAGGAGGCAAATCAGCCCCCTCCCACCAGCGCACGCTCGGCTGGAGTTGAGGCTCGCATTCTTGGTGCTTTAATGTCAAGGTAGAATGTCTGTTTTACCCAAAATGCTATGCCATGTTGCTGGCTTTAAAATTTTGTTCTAAATATATCTCTGCTATTTGCTCTTCAACATTTGTGTATGACTTTTTCATGTTATATTTTCATATTTAACTGAGCGAGTCAAAGGAGTAAATTGTGAAAAAGACACCTAACTTGAATTGTTAAAATGTAGTATGAGGGGCAAACCAGATGTGCCAAAGAAGATAACTTATTAGCCACTATTGTGGTTTTTCAAAAGGCAAGAACAGCCACAAAAGAACCTCAGATTTGGATTCGGAACCACAACACTACATAGAGTTGCCACATCACTCCTGGTAACTGGCAGGAGATTGGGGGGGGGGGACTTTCCAGGAGAAAGAGAAAGGCCCAGTCCACATTGCTGGCATTGCACAGGACGTGACATCATCCTGCCAGCAACTTCTGGGTGACACTTTGGTATCTGGGGAAAAACTGTGGTAAAACCAGCTTCTAGCAAAGAGTTTTTGCCCAATACCAAAGTGTCATCTGGGCATCACTGACATTATGATGTCACTTCCTGTGCGACTCAAGTAACATAGCCTAGGTCTTCTTTCTACTGATAAGTCCCCGCCCACTGGCCAGCTAATGAGGAGCTGGGGGGCAGGGCCTGGTGGCAGGGGACCCCTGCCTCCACCAGGAGGTCTGGCAACCCTAACACTACATGAGAGGGTTTTCCTTGTGCTGCTTTCCCTTTGTTGCTTTCAGTTCCCCTCTCCTCCCATATACTCTGTAGTGGGAAATGTACCACATATGGTATCTTTAAAAAAAAAACCTGGGGCAGCTGGAGTTGGGAAATGGTTCAGGAGAAAGGATTATATCATGCCAGTACTAATGCCCATCACCATTCCAAACCAGTGCCCCATGGCTACTTTTATCCCATTAAAAACAACCATGAAAGATACTTACTATGGAATTCCTGTGTCATTCCTAGTTTGACCCTGAATGTGCTTGAACTGTAAACATTAGGAACCAAGGGAAGAAACCATTACTTGAGAGTGTAAAATACAGAAGACAGGTTGGAACAACAGATTTATCTCTGTAGAAGGTGCTTGAATTCCAGGGCCTGTTTGGCCACGGCCTGCTCATTTCTTTTCTTTGCAATAGTTGCACACTATTGTAACAGAGCCATGTAAGAAAATATGCATGCGCTCTTTTGAAATTTTAAATACTCATTTGCCAAACTCCAGAAGTCTAGAAAGGTTTTTACAGTTCTGCTGAACAATAAAAATATTATGGGTGCTTCAGATTTTTATAGTCACTTCATATTGCTGCAGTGCAAAGGTAAATGAATGTGTGAGCACAGTATTTTTCCTTCAAAATCATGAATTTCAATATAAATGCTGGCATTACAGATGTCTGTTTATCACTTTTCCTTTCAACAGAGCGTGGATCGCACTTCTTGCAAACCTCATCATATTGAGGTGGGGTTAAGATGAGCATAACCAGTGACGAAGTGAATTTCTTGGTGTATCGCTATCTCCAGGAATCAGGTAAGTTTTTAATCATAAACATGCCTTGAGTGTCCTGGAGAGAGTTTTGCCAGTGCTGTTTTGCAAACTACGCAAATGGCTAATTTTTGAACCCACTGAGGGCAGTGTTTTAAAAAGTTTATGAATATTACTATTTATAAGTTTCTGAAGGATAAATATAGTAAAGTTTGCTTTTCTGGGCCAAATTGAACAAGATTTGGGAGAAGAATGAACAGGAGTCTCCCAATAACTTTCTTTTGTATTATTAAATGTTGCCACACTCCCCTCCCCCCCGCCTCTACCTCTGCATACAGAAGCAGGTTTTCTTGTATCGGTGGATAGCAGCTTGGGACCAGTTTTACTCAAAAATGGCCTGAAAGAAATTACTGCATCATAACACAGAAATACAAAGAGGCGTTCACGTTTATTTGAAAAATTAGAAAGTAGGAAGAGGGATAAAATATGTGAAGAGTTAGGCTTTGTTGTCTGTGATATTGTAAGGTCTGTGTTTGCTTCTCAGAATATTTGGAGAGATCTGATCTTGTTGAGGAACAAATTGTCCCACTCTGCTGAGCGTAATAGCATTTCCAGGTGTGCCAAGGTCGTGATGGGATGAGTGAAGCCAGTGCATGTGCTCTTAAACAGATTCTTTTGGAAAGTGGCCATACAATTCCAGACCTTGTACTTGTCGATTGTCAATTTACAATATATGGAATCACTGTTAAAATTTCTGTTTGCCTTTAGATAGAACTTGGATTTGAAATCTGGCAATCTTAAAAGAAGGAAAAGTTTTAAATGATTCATTTGGATAGAAATAGTGTTTATTTGCTTCTTCCTGGATATTTTTTTCCTGCAGATAAGAAACTGACTACTGAAACCTGAATACTTGGCATGTAGAATATTTAACTATAACTATACTTTTAGAGTTTTTAACTATACTTTTCTCAGCAGTTAGTTATTTTGGAAGTTACTGATACATGCTTTTAAAAAGACTAAAATACTCTAATAAGGTAATTTGCAGTGTGCCAGAGTAGGATGTATTTCAAGAAAAGGAGCCTTTACTGTCTTGGCAACTGGAAAAAAAGCTACAGTGACCATCTGTAGAAAATTTCAGTGTTTGAAAGCCTTGCTAGGTCATTACAGTATGTCAGCAGTGACAGCCTATTCACGGCTGCTGTTTACAGGTGGTTGTTATGACTGACTGCAGAGCACTGCTTAGGGCAAAATCTGCTAAGTATGATTTTCCTGGCTTTAAAAATGAACCTGGATATTGTCTCCATTACCTCAGTTAACCTTTTCCCCAAGGAACAAATTGGGAGATAACGCTCGTGTGTGTTGCTAAAAGAGGGTCTGCTTTGCACCCAGCCATAGGAAAAGATCTTATATTTAGCTGGCCTGCTTATGTAGCTTGGTTGAATGGAAGGGGGGGGGAACCTGCTGTTCTTCATCTCAAATGTTACATTAATGTAACCAAAGTATGTAAAATAGTTGCTTTATAATTCTTTGTTCTTCTACAGTTCTGTCACAGGCAGGTAGGTTTGTCAAAAGCCTAAGTAAGGCTAATCACAAGATCCTTTTTTGACTTATTGAAACTTCTAACATGTGTCCCTACTGAGCCTTAAGTTCCTCCAAATTCTCAGCAGTTACCAATAGGATCAGTTACCAAAGTAAGAAGGTATAACTGTTTTTACATGAACCCATGCTTAATATAGTTTCGGCAGCTGTAATCAGGTGTATTTCTTCAGTTCTTTCAGATAACTTGTTAGTACAGGATGCATTTCTGGGAATTGTGGAAATAATTGTAGTAACACATTGATTCTCACTTTAAAATAATATAACAATGTATTAACTGAGGTATACCATAAATGGGGAAAGGGAGGTAAGGCTGAGCAATCATGGTGTCTGTATGGCCATCTACAAAATACATAGATTAGTACACTGCACCAGCTTTTAAAACTAATGGTATTTCAAAACACACATTCATATTTATTGTTTCAACTATACTGATTGATTCTGCTAAGTGCCTTTATTCAGCTCTTTATATTAATTAAAGGCTCCATTTAGCAGACCCTGTGCAGACAAAAGGGTTGCTGGCACTTGGTAGGGATTATTTGCTGTTAAATTAATCATACTAGGGATCTTGACAACCCAGTTTAGAAATTAGGACTGCCTTCTTTAGAGAATTTTATATGGTTTTATTGCATTAAGGTTATCAACCAGAAAGAAACAGTCATATATCTCACCTCATTCCTCTTTATTTTTATTTGAAAATAAGTGGTGCAGCCAAGTCTCCCAGGCTGGTAGGGTTACGAAAACTGAAGAACTAGTATTAGGCAAGGGGAATGGTTAAGTTGCCAAAGTTGTCCTGGTAAATTGCCAAAGAATCCTATACATGAGACAAAAGGAGAAAGTTTCTTCTGTCCTTCCATGTAGTTGGAATGGAGAAGATTGTGTGGTAGTGGGAGACTAGTGCTCAGTCTGCCATGTAGCCCATTGGGTAAATTTTAGCCAGTTACCTTGTCAGTCTAATCTACCTAATAGAATAGTTGTGAGGAGATTCTTGGGGGGAAACCATGTATATGGGAAGGGGAATGTAATTGTGAGGAGATAGAGGGGGGGAAAACCCTGAACTCATTACACAAAAGGTGGGATAAAAAATATGACATATGTGTCATACTTTTGTCACATCCTTTCTCTCCTGAGATAAGGGCAGGGCTTTTTTTGTAGAAAAAGCCCAGCAGGAACTCATTAGCATAATAGGCCACACCCCTGACAACACAGCTTTTAGCATAATAGGCCACACCCCATGTCTTTCCTTGGCTTGCCAGGGCGCCCTGCGGCTGTGCGGAGCCCGGACAAGCTGGCCCTTGGACAGGCCGGGGAAGGTTCGGGGAGTCATTTAAATGCTGCCCCGATCCTACCAGGGCCCCCTGGCCTGCCCGCCTTGGAGTTGCTGGAGGGGGGGGGGTGATCTCCAGGCCTTCCCTCTATAGCCACACATGCAGAGGTTTTGGCTGTAGTGGGCGTGGCCAACTCTGAAGCCGGCCAGAACTCCGTTCCTGTGCGTTCCTGCCCAAAAATAGCCCTGGATAAGGGCAGTGCGCATGGTTTTTGTTATGTTAGATGCATAGACAGAAATATCACTCTGGAGAAGGAGGAAGGGATGTTACTTATAACATTTCCCACTATGGAAGATGTAAGTGAAAGAGGAAGAGATCTTGTTCCCTAATAGATCTTGTCCACAATTCGTCAGGAATGCAGTCACATTTAAATCCTGTTATGATGGTCATAGTGTCAATTTGATTCAATATTCTAGGTAATTAATTTGTGTACATTGCCTTGGCCAATTTTGGAAGGGTGACTAATAAATGTCAACAACGACTAAATAGGTAGGTCTTTAAGAACACTTCTCAATTTTAGGGAATGTTGCTGGCTGGGGAACTGGTATTTCCTTTTAGTGCTCAGGACCAAATGAGTGTGGGGCACAGAATACAGATGTTCTCCTTGGATTCAAACCTTGGCTTCTTATGAATATATTTTTGGAATTATTCCCATCCATACAAGTCTGTGCATCTGCAAGTACCCATGTGTATACCTATGTGTATACCAGCTGAGCTCTGAGCAGGAGCAGGAGAGAGAGCTGTGAGAGTGGTGAGTGGGTTTCTTTTACTTGCTTTCAGCTGAGAGAATTCAGCTAAGGATATTTTGTGGGAAAACTGTGTTTAGCAGTGTGTGGAAGCACTTAGAGTTCTTGCAGAGTCCTGGCTGATTGAGTGTGGGAGAGGAACGGGCATTGTTTGACTGGGATTGCCTGTAATTGAGAGGAAGTGGAAGGGGCATTGTTTTGCCTGTGATTGAGTGCCTGGGTGAATTTGAATTTGAATAGCTGCTGCCTGACCTCTGCTGGGGGAGGCCTCTATTTAAGGAAGCACCTTGGCAGAGGCACGAGCCTCTGGCACGAGCCGAAGGGTGAGCTAAAGGGCTCTTTGCCTGTGTAAGGGTGAGCTAAAGGGCTCTTTGCCTGTGGCTCTTAGCCTAGGGACTCTTAGACTAGGGGCGCTGTAAGAAGCCCAAAAAGAGCCAGAAAGACAAGGCCCTAGGCTCTTTGTCTTTCCCGTAAAATAATTTGACTTGATAACAAAACCCACATAAATACCAAGGGTGTAAAAGGGGGATTATATTTATTTATTTTAAAAGAATTATGAAGCCAGAATGCCAGCAGGGGGTTGGGGGCTATCCAGTGTTTTGCACGGAGTGTCACATGTATGACTATCTGCCCACTGGGCAGAAGTCTTGGGTGTGTCCTCGGTGCAAGGAGCTCCTGGTTCTCAGGGAACGTGTGTGCTCCCTTGAGGCCAAGGTGGCTGACCTGGAGAAGCAGAGACAGTCAGCTAGGCGCACAGAAAAGACTCTCGGGGACTTGTTAGCTACGTCCCACTCTGGATCTGGCAGCCCCGCTGCTGTCAGGGAGCATGAGGGTCTAGGGGAAACAGGGCACCATGCTGAGGATAAGGGGAATGTGCCCTCAGAAGGGACCTCTTCCCCAGCTGGTGAGCGGCTCTCCTTTTGCACCAAGGAACCATCCCTGAGCAGGGTGGGAGGGGGGCTCTTGGTAGTGGGTGATTCGATCCTTAGGCAGGTAGACAGCTGGGTGGCGAACCCGCGTACTGACCGTATGGTGACTTGCCTGCCTGGTGCGAAGGTAGCGGACATTACGCGTGTTTTAGATAGGCTGGTAGATAGTGCTGGGGAGGAGCCAGTGGTCGTGGTGCATGTCGGCACCAACGATGTGGGGAAATGCAGTCGTGAGGTCCTGGAGGAGAAATTTAGGCTGCTGGGCAGGAAACTTAGGTCCAGGACCTCCAAGGTAGCCTTCTCAGAAGTGTTACCTGTTCCACGCGCAGGGCCGGAGAGACAGGCAGAGATCAGGAGTCTCAATGCGTGGATGAGACGATGGTGTAGGGGGGAAGGGTTCAGGTTTGTTAGGCACTGGGATACTTTTTGGAACAAGAGGGAGCTGT